AATCTCACAGAAATTTTCATAAACCCAGTGAAGTAAATTGTGACTGCAGCATACATTGGTCTTGATAAAGAAAAAAAAATGACTCATTCTGATAGTCAACCCATGTGTGCTTCCAATCGAAAATGTAACTCCACACTGCAATTGTGCCCTTCCATTCTTGCATTCTTCTTTTCATTGTTCAGTCCTTCTCTGATGAGATAAAATTAATTCCTAGTATGTCAGCTGAATCTTGCAGCCTAATATCAGAGCCTAGTGCTTTGCTTATATCCTTCCTTCAAAAATAAATCAAGTACTCAGGATTCATATTCTGCCTTCAGCTTTCAATGTGACCAGTTTTCACAAAGGAAGCCCTTGCTCTCACTCCTCTTGTTTCCTTATGAATACTCACCCCTGATTGCCCATTGTAGCTGCCACTGGGCTGAGATTAAAGCTATAGAGGTACTGCTCTGGGTAGAGACAGCGCCTCTCACACACCAGATATTTGCACATCTATGTTTCCTTCAGCACTGAAGTCTGGGAAGAAGAAGAATCCAGGAGCTAAGGACGAAGATGGAGCCATACATCAGCTGAACCCATTCGAGTCGCTTTCCTGATTCCTCCCATAATAATGGGTTCCATAGGCTACAACAAATACAGGGTCAAGATGCAAGCCAGGGACTGACACTCTATGTTCTTTCACTTTATTTTCAAAATCAGAACGAGAAAAAACAAAGTAAGAGGCAATACCAGCAGTGTGAAGCTTTATGTGGAGATACAGTCATAGTGATATATTAGTTCTACTATACATTTCAAAATTTGAAAATATAGTCTTAAATTCATAAAATAGTTTACATATGGAAATAAAGCTGATCTTAAAACCCACTATTTGTGTCATTGTTTCTTCGTTATTTACAAATGAGAAAGATCAAGTATGTGAGGACAAGCATGGATTCCATATAAAATCCCAAAATACATTACAACATACTTTCTATTACTAGTTTTCATTTCTCTCAATACTTTATGAATCCTAAAATATTTTGAAATATTCTTGATTATTGTAAGTTTTCTCAGCTATGTGCATATAGGTGCTTATGTGTATATATATGTAAGTATATATGTATATATATATATATTTGATATCATAATGAAAATAATGGAAAATTGGTCTGAAGGTCTTATTTCAGTTCTTACTCTATTCCACAATTACATTTACAGTATAATACTGCCCTCCCGTTGTTCATTGATTTGCTCGAGCGGACCCAATAACATCTCCATTTTGAGACTTGTTTACAGTATGTATAAAACTAATTAACAACTCTGTTTTCAATAAATTTTTTATACAGCAGAACAATTCAAGTAGGCTTATTTAACTTCTCACTCTATAATTCTCTTTATTTTAAATATAATCATGTGCAAATTTTTGTTTTGTAATCTTTTTATGGGAGAAAGCTTTATCCCTAAGTATCTGTATAATCTACAGAAAAATGCCCCCCTAAAATAGGCTTTTGAATTAAGTCATTAGTAACATTATGCAACTCAACTGATAAAAATAATGTATGTCAACAAACATTCAGAAGAAAGGAAAGAAGTGGTTTTAGTACAGATTGGTTTTACATTGTTTAATTTTTACTAAAGTACTTATTTTTAAAAGGCTGAGATTTGTACTACAGGATAATTATAAAAATCAAATGCAGTCAGTGATTACTACAGAGTAAAATACTAATATTGTATTATAACTGAGTAATATATTTCTAGAAACGTATGTTTAAACTTATGTTTAAATCTGACTGACCATTGGAAGTCTTAAAAATAACAGAAAGATCTCAGATTGTTCATTTTATTTAATTAATTAATTAATTTATTTATTTATTTTGCTTTTTGGGTCACACCCGGCAATGCACAGGGGTTATTCCTGGTTCATGCAGTCAGGAATTACTCCTGGTGGTGCTCAGGGGACCATATGGGATGCTGGGAATTGAACCTGGGTTGGTTGTGTGTAAAGCAAACATTCTACCCACCATGCTATTGCTCCAGCCCCGATCTCAGATTATTAGATTTTATTATCTACATGTTGACTGAATCTTGTTATTATTCTTCATTATAAACATACCTAAATAGTTGATGCTTCTGCTGTCTATCAAGAATAATTATATTTTTAAATTTAAATAAACAACATGGATCAGGGAGAGAGGTAGAAGATAGATGATAAGAAAACCATTTATTTTTTTAAGTTCATCAGTGGTAATAATGCATATACAATAAGTAACAATTATATCATCCATTTTTGGTCTTTTTTTAGAATGTTAAAAGAAGACTATCTAAGAAACCGTGTTATAGACTTTAATGGTACTATAACAAAGACGATCATAGAAAAATTGGCAATCTACAGTGACATACTGAGGTTTTTCTCTTAAATTATATCATTAAAACACCAAGGAGAATACTTTGACAAAGTTCATGCTCCCTGTGAGTGGAATATATTTTCACCATATATTCTCAAATCAACTTCTGATAGAGCCAGAAAGAAGTATTTTTAATTTTCAAACTAGTTGAGATCTTTCTTATTGAATGTGGTAGTGGATTCACTCCAGATCTTCCTAGGACTGAATTCGGTCCACTGGGATAATCTCTACAGTCTCAAAGATCTACCCCTCACCTCCACAGAGCATTTTAGTACATTATTTTGAGGCCACTATCCCTTTAATTTAAATATTGTAAGTTTCCCCGCTGCCAACAAAGAGAGATTAACTGGCCATTCCCTTTCTTAGCCAATCTCAACTGGTTTTCATCTGCTAAACTGAACACTTCCCTTCTGTTTTCCGTTCCCAAAACCCAAGTCCCAAAAGTTCTTCAGAGACTGTGTCTCTTGGAAGAATTTATCAGGCAGCAGAATGGCTACACAAAGCAACGTGTAAACAGAATCACTTGTCTCTAAAAACTCTCTTCTTTTCAAATTGGAGTATTTTCAGAAATGTGTGGCGGGGGGGGGGGGGGAGTATTTATTTACACTTGGTACAGTCTCCCACCCATTGTGTCGTCTTCATGTTTTTTAGCTCCTGCACTTCTTCCAAAGTGGATTATTAGACCCCCCTGGGATTCAGTGTACATTTCAAATTAAAATACGATTTTTAAGATACAGATACTTAGGAACCAGCCACAACATGAGCTGGTTCTCACTTCTCTCATGCTCTCACACTGGTCATTAAAACTAAGAATTTGATATGAAATAGAGAATTTAAAAGAATATGTAGTCACTTTACCTATTGCATTTATTATCCTTGGACATTAGTGGATGTTTCCCCAATTTCTTCTTTATTACTACGCAATTTGTTTATGGAATTCTAGTAAAAAAGATAGACATTCAATATAGAAAATTTATCATTCTCCTGTTTCTCTAAAGCCCCAAATTCCCAAGGGTAAGTTATATTTTTTACTTCTTCATTTTAAATAACTGTACCTTTATAATAATGAAAGGTCTCAAAGCTTATTTATCGCAAATTAAAATTATGTTGTCACCCTAAGCATCACCGTAATTTTTGTAAAAATACCTTCATAGAAAATATGTCTGTCCTGTTACTTACTACTCCCTCAACTTAATAAGAAGAAAAATTCATTAGACAAATTAATCTATTCATTTTTTTTATTTTATAAAATTGAGTCACATTTACAAAGTTGTTCATGATTGGATTTCAGGCATATTGCCCCAACACCACCTGTCACTTCACCAGTGTACTTTTTCCCACCACCAATAGTCCCAGTTTCCCGCTCACCACCCAACTACCTGTACACCCCACCTACCACTATCGCAGGAACTTTTCTTTTCTCTCTCTCTCTCTCTCTTTTTCTCCCGATCCTTCACCCCCCCCCCCCCCCCACACACATACTTTTGGGCCTTATTGTTCACAATACAGATAATTAAAGGTTATCAGGTTCTTACTGTTTCAACAATAGTCAGGGATTATAAAGCAATATGTATACCTCAGCTTGTCTAAATACGTAACATATAAATACATTAGATGAACTTGACAGGCCTAAGAAAATTTAACGCTGAATACTCCTTCAATATTTTTCTTAAATACTACAAACGGCATATAGCATTTTCTTTGTCTTTCTCTGCCAAATTATCTTTAGGTCTTCAATAAAACAAATGCCTTGTTTGAATAAATTAAACGTGTATTAATATCTTCCACCAAAATGTGCGTATATTACAATAAAACAAAAACTAGAATAGTTAATAATACTATCGCAAGGAATTGAGTGCTTTGTCAGTTAAAAGAATAAATTTTGCCTTACAATAATAACATGAATGATAAAGCTAATTTCACCACAATGTCTTAAAATCAAAACCTTCATTTATATAAGTGATTGTATCCGGAGAACAATAGGATTTATATTTGCATGAATTGGTGAAAAAATTAATCCCTTTACATGCACAGAGAGAAAAATGCCCTGCATATAGTCTAGAGTAAAAATGTCTTAAAAGTAATAAGGATACCGCTTTCACATTTCCCTCAAGGTAAAGGATAAAAAAATGTACAGCCTAGATCAGTATTTAGAGGCTTCGTGCAAAATCCTCGATCAGTGTTCAGTATCTAAAAGTTTCCCTTCCAGCAATACATTTGTCACATGCACCCCTGAAATGCCACTCCAAGTTGCAACAACAGCCGGCAGAGAAGTCATCACAAATAACTCAAAGAACAAAGGCAGAAAGTTCTAGAGAATACTTCAGTCACTTTGAAGCCATACACCCTCACACTTTTAGTTGTAAATATTTCTACAGGCTCTGAACATATTTTACTGGATAATTTTCACTTGTTGCGAAACCAGTAAGGTGCCACACTCTGCCCTTCCAGAGTGTACGAGGACATGAATATCCACAAACTGAAGCTCTCAAAGAAAAGCTATGCCACTAACAAGGAACACTGATACCATGTCTGTGGCACTTGACAAATGAGATCCCACTGCCGCGTTTAACCCAAAGACACCGCACAGAGTAAAAGGTGAACTGTCGAGAACCTTACCTTCCTGGACTGCTTGGAAGGGGTTGTTACCATCCACAAATGTCACCGAAAACGTGATCTTCTCTGTCTGCAAGATCTCCTCATTCTGGTTGAGGTCCCCGACAGCCGTGCGGAACACCTCATCGTCCTTTTTGGCCGATTCATCAAATATCGCTCCTAGAAAGAGAGAATTTCGCTGGTAAATAACAGCATCACTATTCTTTTTTTTCATATTTTATAATTTTATTTATTGAATCACCGTGAGAGCAGTTACAAAGCTTTTCGGTCTAAGTCTTGGTCATACAATGAAACACCCGTCCCTTCACCAGTGCCCATTCTCCACCACCAAAAACCCCAGTATACCCCCATCCCACACCCTCCCCCTACCTGTGGGGCAGATGATTTCCATATTACTCTCTCTCTACTTTGATCACATTCAATATTTCGACACCAAACCCACCATTACTATTTGAGATTTTACCCCAACGCTCAGATCTGCTGAAAAGGCAACAGCAGACAATTTGTTTTCTGTTGCTGGTTATGCATAACATGATGTCGCGTGGCTGCAGTAGGGCCACGTGATTTTGAAATTCCGAAAAAAAAATTTTTTTAAACACCATGAGGTACAGTTGTAGATTTACAATTTTTTTGTGCTTGAGTTTAGATTATACAATGATCAAATACCCATCCCTCCACCAGTGCCCATTTTCCACCACCATGGATAATATCCCTCCCACCCTACTCAAAGCCTCTTTTGCAGACCACAACACCCAAAAGGAGAGAGAGAACACAAGGGATCGCCCTGCCACAGAAGCATCACTATTCTTAGCCATTCTGCTGTGCCCTTGGAATATGGCCAAGTGTTTAAGATATGGGAAATATGTCTACTTTGCTTCAAGAAGGCACTTTCGTTGTTATTGAAAAACATACTGCTCACAGAGTATGATCTAAGGGACAAAGGAGTCACCTGTTTCAAGTGGAAATGAAGGATGCACAGTAATACTGGAGTATTGTTGTAGGAAAGACAGTGGAAAGACACTGTAATAAGTAGAAAGGACTTCCCAGGACCAAGTGACAAAACACTGGAATTTTATCCTGGGAAACCTTTAGGGATTATGGCTTGAAGAATGCTTTTCCCTAAATCTTAGACAACAATATTAGGACACATTAAGTGCTCTTCTTATGATTACCAAATAAATATCACTATTGAATTTTTATATCATGTGGCATTAAATACGGATATATATATAATATGATTATGATATTAAATATGATTGATTCACTTCTAATTCCTTTTATGCACAACAGTATATTTTATAACACTAAGTCCAGAAATTACAAAAGAAACTTGTAAGTTTCTTATCAGAGTGGAGAAATAGTACAGAAAGAACTAGGGGCAGGCCCCTGAGTAAGAGATTCAAATTTATTAACCTTATTCACTGTCTCCAAAATTCTACCAAAACATGCCAGGTTCTCTAAGATTATAATGCAGCGGTGTATATAATTTTCTGTAATATTGGGAGGCAACAGTCAACAGTGCTCAATTCTGAATCCTGACTCTGTGCTCAGGTTTCACTGCTGGTGAGGGTTGGGGAACCAAGTGGGGTCCTGGGACTCAAACCCTGTCAGCCATATGCAGGGCAAGCACCTCCCCCACTGTACTATCCCCCTCACCCCATTACATTTTCATATCAAAGTTTTTCGCTTATTTTTTTTTTAATTTTTATTAGTGAAACACCATGAGGTACAGTTGTAGACTTACAAGTTTTTGTGCTTGGGTTTCAGTTATACAATGATCGAGTACCCATCCCTCCACCAGTGCCCATTTCAGACCACCACGAATCCCAGTATCCCTCCCACCCCCCATCCCCCCCATCCCACTCTGCCTCTGTGGCAGGGCATTCCCCTCTGTTCTCTCTCTCCTTTTGGGTGTTGTGGTTTGCAAAAGAAGGATTGAGTGGCAATCATGTTTGGTCTATAGTCTACTTTCATTATGCTTTTCCCATCCTTGGAGGATCCTCCCAACACCCTTTATTTGGTGCTCCCTTCTCTATCTGAGTTCCTTTTTTCCTAGCATGTGTGGCTGGCCTCCAAGCCATGGAGCAAAATTCCTGGTACTAATCTCGGCCACTCTTGGGTGTTAGTCTCCTATTTTGTTACTTTATGTTCCCCATATGAATGCCATCTTTCTATGTCTATCCCTTTCTTTCTGAGTCATTTCGCTTAATCGCTTATACTTTTTAAACAATAATGTGTCATATATACTGTTAGATATAGATGTAGTTATAAACATTAGCATCCAGGCAAAGATTCAATAAGAATAAGAGTTCTGGTGTCCTTAATTCCAAAAATACTTGATTTCAAATATAGAATAGAATCATAAAGGAATACAGTTAATACATACCCACAACATAAATACATCTAAACATAATACTTATATCACTGTCTATGGAAATTCAGATGTATCCAGTAAAACCACCATGCAAATATAAATATTCATAATATATCTAAATAATTTAGGATACATATCTAGCATGCTCAAATACGTATATACGTGTACTTATTTATAGATCTAAAGTTGCAGAAATATACGTATGGAAGCGGAGCTGTTAGTGAAGGGAATTGCTGCATATTTGTAGGGACATACTTCAGCTCTACTCATGGATTCAAATTGTGTATTATGCAAAACTTGCAAGCCCCTCTTGGCATAGGGATGATGTTGCTGACCTCTGCTCAATGTTTTAGTAAAACATTTTATTACAACTGGTAGAGCATTTGCTATTGCATCAAACATGATAACTGACTTTAACTGTAACTGGGTTGATTAAACACACACACACACACACACACACACACACACACACACACAAAATCTTCATTATAACTATGTTCCACCAAAATTAACACTTTTAATGTTACACTGCTTTTTTCCTTTAGAGTTGAGATAGAAAATTTCAAAAATATAGAAAGTGCATCAATTCTGCACAGAAAGGTCATGACCCCCCCAACGAAAATAAACAATTCATCTTGCTGCAAATACCAAGAACATACTACAGAAGAAAGGAGTTTATCGAACTATAAGTAGAACAATAGGGGCCGAGCTAGCACAGAAGGTAGGGCATTTGCCTTGCACACGGCTGACCGGGTTCGATTCCCTGCATCCCATATGGTCCCCTGAGCACTGCCAGGAGTAATTTCTGAGTGCATGAGCCAGCAGTAACCCCTGAGCATTGCCGGGTGTGACCCAAAAAGAAAAAAAAAAAAGAATCACTAAGATTCTTTCTTAAAGTGGGGGAGGGGATCTAGTTTAAAAAAAAAAGTAGAACAATCAAAAAGCAGAAAATTCTACTCAGTATTTCAAATTAAATTATGCATTTTCTACTTGTTCTGAATATTAAAAAATCAGCCTTAATTTTTAACGAAATGAATGCAAAAATTTGTATTTAGTACAAGTGTTCGGAAAACAATGTAGTAAAAGTCCACACTGAAAATCTCTGGAGAGGTTCTTTCTTATTTGTGCACCTGCATAAGGAAGGAACATATCATCTGTAACCTTTACTTCATCAAGTACATGTTACGAGTTTGACACAGCAGCAGAATTTGTAGGTTCTTGTTTATGATTTAGTTTCTCAAATTTTAACATTCATAACTATATAGTAGATATGAACATTACCTAATTATTTCTCAACTATTTTTATTGATTGGTTAGTTGATTAATTTTTGAGCCTCAGCTGATGACTCAGGGCTTACTCCTGCCTCTATGCTCAGAGATCACTTCTGACAGGCTTGGGGGGCCATCTGGGATGCTAGGGATGAATCTGAGTCAGCCATGTGCAACGCATACGCCCTACCTACTGGAACATCTCTCACCCCTCAACTACCTTTATTTGCATGATTTTTTACGTGATTGTTTTATTCCATCAACAATTGATTAAGCAGAATCAATTGTCGATGGAATAAAATAATCACCAGCAATTACACACACACAGACTTCCCACAAACCGAGATTGTAAGAGAAATTTTATATATTTATTTTTTCTGCCTTAAATTTTCAGCAATTTTGACACATGGTGTTAATTTTTCTTAATCAGTATGATTGCCCACTTCAGACAATTTATTGCACGCACTAGAATTTTTTGGTCAGCAGGGCCATTCAGAATTGTTAAATCACCAAATGTTCTCAGTGCTGGAGATACTCATTTTCACAAGTGTGGTTTTAACTTAATTGTCAGAGTGTGATTTGCAAACACAGTAGTTGTGCAGTGTGTCGATACTCAAATCAAAGATTTATATTGTTTTATGCATGTAGACATAGTATTCCCATTCTTGTGGAAATTGTTCATACAAAATGAGGTCAAACTAATCATGGGAATCATAAATATTTTATAAATTATATGTTATTTTTATTTCCCCTTAAGTAGTCTTATTGTTAATTCACAGAATTGGAAAAGAGGGTTGACTCTGTAAATAATATCAGACAAGAAAAATTATCAATATTACAACTAATGAAATTAGATTTTCATTGCTTCTTTCCTTTAGAATTCAGATTAAATTTGAGTGGAACATAGCTAAAATGAATATGTGTGTGTGTGTGTTTAATCAACCCAGTTACAATGATATCTCCCCCATAAACTAATTCTTTGTTAGAAAGTTTGTTGGCAATTCCCTCTCATTTATCAGAAATTTTCCAAATATGTTCTACATTAAAATCTCCCTTGGCAGAAAACATGATTTTCAGAAATCTGTTGTGCCCTTTCATCAAGTGAATCCTGGGTGATCTCACTCATTTATGGACCACAGAAAGCAAAAAGAACCGTTAACACGGGACAACCTCAAATCCTTGGCTCTGGGCTATGGAGCAAGGTACCAAGGAGTTTGGGAGGGGTAGATGAAGAGCATCCTGGAGGCTGCAAAGGCATCAGGCAGAGGATGATGAGGACCTCCATGGTGTGTGTGGGGGGAGGGGGGTGGTCAGTCATTTTGTACACAGATACCATAAACTTTCACAGCATTGTAACTACCTAAACTCATATTTCTTTCTTAAAGAGACAGATATCTCCCCGCAGTTCACTTTATCTAACTAGTGACAGTATTTTAAGGAAGCAAACCAAAACCCTAATTCTAACTGTGATAAAGAAGTGTCATATATACACGAAGTTCACAACAATCAGCAAATA